CGGGGGCTCCCTGTCCCCTCCCCACATCCGTTCTCTCTGCAGGTCTCCTCTGGCTGGGAATTAACAAGCCCTTGAGATCGTGGTAAGACATGCTCTACCCGGACCGCACCCTTCACCCGCCTCTCTCTGTTCCAGCCGCGGAGCCGCAGGGGGCAAAACCCACCCTGGAGCCCAGCCTGGGGGAGCTCTCGGCCTCTGACGTCACCCACGACTCCGTCCTGCTCTCCTGGACCGTCCCGGCCGGGGACTTCGACTCCTTCCTCCTCCAGTACAAGGACGCGGAGGGCCAGCCCCAGGCGCTGCGCGTGGACGGGGCATCCCGCACGGTCACCGTCCCCAACCTGGCGCCTTCCCCCCTGCCCGTAGATGGCGCCCTGCGCTCCCTCCACCTCCACGACCTGGCGCCTTCCCACCGATACAAGATCAACCTCTACGGCGTGTCTGGCCGCAAGCGCCTGGGCCCCGTCTCCACCAACGCCACCACAGGTCAGCGGCTGCCCCCAGGACGCCGGCCCCTTCCTCTTTAGCTCTTTTCCCTGGAGCTCAGCGAGGACACTGGCCACGGGGCCAGCATGTTCCCAGAGAGAGAAATCCCAGCCGCCGTAATATGGTCACCAGGGAATCAGTGGATAAATAGCTTGGGGGTGGAGTCAGATGGAAGGTTAGAGTTGTGGGTAGATGGGTGTATACGTGGAAGGCCGGCCGACTGGCCAGCCGTGTGTAAAGGGTTATACAGGAGTGGGAAGTGGGAGCGGTTGGTGGATGAGTTTGTGGATAGTCTGTGTGGGGATGGATGGACAGATGGGTGGGAGGAGCCGTGTGGGGATGGATGGATGGATGGATGGATGGTTGGACAGGTGGGCGAGTGGATCTGTGTCGGGATGAATGGATGGACAGGTGGGCGGGTGGATCCGTGTGGGGATGGATGGATGGACAGGTGGGCGAGTGGATCTGTGTTGTGATGAATGGATGGATGGTTGGACAGGTGGGCGAGTGGATCTGTGTCGGGATGAATGGATGGACAGGTGGGTGGATGGATCCATGTGGGGACGGGGCTGTGGGAATCCCCGCTTGTGGGGTCCTTTTTCCAGACATACCCCATCCATCTTTCTGTCCCCAGCTCTCCTTTGCAGCACAGAGCTCAGCTGTGCCATGGGGTGGGCCCTGGAACCCGCCTCACCTTCCCACTGCAGACCTCCTCTGGCTAAGAATAACCCAGCCCCCAAGCCAGCCCGGAAAGCCACCCCCCAACCTTGGCCTCACCATTCACCCTCTCTCTGTTCCAGCCGCGGAGCCACAGGAGGAACCCACCCCCCATCCCAGCCTGGGGGAGCTCTCAGCCTCCGACGTCACGTTATGTGGTGGTATTTTTTCCATAGAGAGGAATTTAAGAACTGGGCAAAATATGGTAGCTATTTATCTGTCAGAGGCCATGCTGTGACGTTATATGAAGCTCACAAGCTCTTTTTCAGGGGAAAAGATAATGCACTGCATTTATCGGGAATACAGTAGAAAAACAGTATATGCTTCAGAAAGACAAGCTGACCTCCTGCCCCAACCAACACAATAACTCTACATTGAGCTGCATCAGCTCTTAATCGATCACCATTTTAACATCTGTCTGGAAGTCATTCTTCCTTGCCATCTGACGTCAGTATGTTGGCACCTCCTTCCCAGAGTTAGGTCAAGATCGTCTTGTTTGCAAAGGTCACTTGCTCCTTAACACTCCCATATGCCCTCCGCCGGTCTGCTTTGTACTGGGCCTTAATTTATGGTACCTTGATGCCTCCAAATCTTCCAGTCGCCTCCCTCCTCCTTCCACCATCTGGACTCTGAAACTGCTGGGCCTAAAGTTCACCTGCCCCCCAAATCACACACACAATCAGGACTCTGAAACTGCTGGGCCTATAAATTATTTCTCCAAATACTCACATTCCAAACTCTCTCACTCCCCCTCCCCAGGAGCAATCCAATCTTTTCACACATGGGAAAAGGGATACCATTGTCCCTACAAAAGCTATCCATCTATTTCCCAAAGCAAAATGTCTGCGGATATTTTTAATTCACTCATTATATTTCCTTTATAACAAACTCGATATTCTAATTACTCCGAAGAGCAACAGTGCGAACATGTTGAATCACAAGGATCCTGTAGATCTCTTTCTCTCTTGACAACAGATACCGACATGGAGGCTGCGTCTAGACTGGCGCGATCTTGCGCAAACGCTTTTAACGGAAACGTTTTTCCGTTAAAAGCATTTGCGCAAGAGAGCATCTTTACTCGTAGATGCCTTTGCGTAAAAGCTGTGCTTTTGCGCAATAGCATCCCGTGCCAGTATAGATGCTCTCTTGCGCAAGAAAGCCCCGATCGCCATTTTGCACATTGGGGCTTTCTTTCACAAGAGCTGGCTACACTGGCCTCTTGCGCAAGAACCCTTGTGCAAGAGGCTCTTATCCCTGAGCGGGAGCATCACGGTTTCTTGCGCAAGGACACTGATGATCTTACATGAGATCGTCAGTGTTCTAGCGCAAGAACTTGCGGCCAGTTTAGACAGCTGGCAAGATGCCAGCAAAATCTGGCCAGTCTAGATGTAGCCAATCAGTTTGGCCGATGTATCTTTATTAAGGGCCTAGAAGCCTGTTCCTCCCTATTAACCGGAGAAGGGCGGCCAGCAGAGTTAGGGTTGTTTAACATTTATCCTCACACCACCCATTAAGCACATCACAAAAAACATTATAGAACTCTGTGGTCTACAATATGTGCATGCATAAATAAAGCCATCAGTATGGAGAGGTGGGTGGATGGATGGATGGATGGATGGATGTAGGGACAAGTGGATGGGTGGATGGATGGATGGAGAGGTGGGTGGATGGATGGATGGATGGACGGAGAGGTGGGTGGATGGATGGATGGACGGAGAGGTGGGTGGATGGATGGATGGATGGACGGAGAGGTGGGTGGGTGGATGGATGGATGGGAGGGTGGATGGATGCAGCGACAGAGGAATGGCTCTGTGTGGGGTTGGATGGACAGACGGGTGGGTGGGCGGTTTGTATTGGAGGGATGGATGGTTTTGGAGAGTCACACGTAGAGGTATATACGTGTATATACGTGGAACCTTCTTCTGCCGGGTGGTTCTGGCAGCAATAATGGTGGCTGGATGCCTGGGGGGTCGACAAACGGAGGTGTAATGTAGCAGGGTTTCTGAAGGCACCACCGAGATGGTCAATTCAGGACAAATTGCTTAGAGACAGCTCAAAGTTCTCCACTATAAGGCACCAAACCAAGTACGCAGCTTCTATTCACCACCCTGGCCAGCACGGAGCCTCACAAGCAAAACCCCCCCAGTCACCCCAGTGTGCCCTGTGACCCACCCAGCCCCCTTTACACAGGGGAGAGGTTATAACCCATCCCCCACCTCCCCTCAGACACCCCAGTGCTCCCTGTGCCCCCCCAGCCCCCCTTACACAGGGGAGAGGTTATAACCCATCCCCCACCTCCCCTCAGACACCCCAGTGCTCCCTGTGCCCCCCCAGCCCCCCTTACACAGGGGAGAGGTTATAACCCATCCCCCACCTCCCCTCAGACACCCCAGTGCTCCCTGTGCCCCCCCAGCCCCCCTTACACAGGGGAGAGGTTATAACCCATCCCCCACCTCCCCTCAGACACCCCAGTGCTCCCTGTGCCCCCCCAGCCCCCCTTACACAGGGGAGAGGTTATAACCCATCCCCCACCTCCCCTCAGACACCCCAGTGCTCCCTGTGCCCCCCCAGCCCCCCTTACACAGGGGAGAGGTTATAACCCATCCCCCACCTCCCCTCAGACACCCCAGTGCTCCCTGTGCCCCCCCAGCCCCCCTTACACAGGGGAGAGGTTATAACCCATCCCCCACCTCCCCTCAGACACCCCAGTGCTCCCTGTGCCCCCCCAGCCCCCCTTACACAGGGGAGAGGTTATAACCCATCCCCCACCTCCCCTCAGACACCCCAGTGCTCCCTGTGCCCCCCCAGCCCCCCTTACACAGGGGAGAGGTTATAACCCATCCCCCACCTCCCCTCAGACACCCCAGTGCTCCCTGTGCCCCCCCAGCCCCCCTTACACAGGGGAGAGGTTATAACCCATCTCCCACCTCCCCTCAGACACCCCAGTTCTCCTTGTGTGAAAGCTGGTCCCAAGATGGAGTTGGTCCCATGAGCGAGTCCCCTGTCCCTGTAGGACTGTCCTTTTTTGTTAGCCACCATTGCTCACATGCTGGTCTGAACCTACACAGCAAAGCTTCTGAGATGTGGATGGGCGCCTATCAAGGTGCATTGTCAGTCAAGCCCTTCGATTCGTGTGGCTAGTGACCCTTTCACAACGGTCTGGCCTAACCTCCCACGGAAGGTCTCCCAGGAGCAAAGATGTGCAATACCCGCACGGAACCGACTCTCCTCACTGCAAGCCCAACAGCGAAACCTGCCGAGGAGCAGCATAAACATAAGCTTCAAGGGGTAGCTGAGTTAGTCTGTTCGGGTGTGTCTAGACTATAGGGGATTTTTTTCGAAAAACTTCCCCTGCCTCTAGACTTCTGCCACGTTCTTTTGAAAGTAAATCGAAAGAACGTGGCAGTTTTTTCGACCGTGGAAAGACTCGATTTACGAAGATGAGTGCCTTTTTTCGAAAGTACTGGTTGTCGTCTAGACGCTTTTTTTCGAAAGAGGCTTTTTCAAAAGTATCTTTCGAGAGAGGCTTGCAGTCTAGACGTAGCCTTACGTAGAAAAAAACAACAAATGGTCTAGTCGCAGTTGATAGACGGATAAAACACGTAGGTGGTATCAAGAGCCTTTGGGGCACAGCCCACTTCTTCAGATGACCAGAGTTATGAGTTTAGGATGTGCACACCCAAAATAGTTAGCAAACGATGAGCTTTCAAGAGATACCTCACTTGGCCCCCTTTGTACAAGACTTGGTGCCAGGCTAGAACGGAGGGTACAACAATGATTTGAACGCTCACATTCGAATTTTAATAACATCACCGGTGACTCAATGGTCAATGACTATATTGGTGTGTGGGAAGGGAGAGACGGGTGCGTCTGGGGATGGAAGGTGTCAATCGGGACCTTTCCTTTCACTTTTCTGGCTATGGTTGACCCTCTTCTCTCTCTCTCATTTGTTCTTCCATCCTCTCCCCGCCCATCCCAGCTCTGCTCTCACCAAGATTAATGCCGGTCACTCTGGAGCAACCAAGGCGGGATGGCCGTGGGAAACCAGGAATGCAGGGTCCTCTGCAGACATGCCCTGTCTGTCTGTCTGTCTGTCTGTCACTACCTCTCCTTGCCAGCAGCAGGATCCAGTCGTGTCCTGGGTCCAGCCCCTGAAGCTCCCTGAACCGCCTCTTGCTAATCCTCTACAGCTCCCCTCTGACTGGGAATGACCCAGTTCCCCAAAGAAGCAGTGAGCCCGCCCCTACCCCAGCCATACCGTCAACCCCCCTCTCTCTGTTCTGCTTGCAGCACCGCGGACGGAGGAACCCCTTCTTCAGATGACCAGAGTTATGCTGCCCTCCTCCGACATCACCCACGACTCCGTCCGGCTCTCCTGGACCATCGACAAGGGGACCTTTGATTCTTTCCTCCTCCAGTACAAGGACGCGGAGGGCCAGCCCCAGGCGCTGCCCGTGGACGGGGGATCCCGCTCGGTCACCGTCCCCAACCTGGCGCCTTCCCGCCGGTACAAGTTCAACCTCTACGGCGTGTCCGGCCGCAAGCGCCTCGGCCCCGTCTCCACCGACGCCACCACAGGTCAGCGGCTGCCCCCGGGACACCGGCCATTTCCCTGGAATAAATTGCCTAGGGGTGTGTAGTCTCTGACACTGGAGATATTGCAGAGCAGGTTGGAGAGACACCTGTCAGGGACGGTCTCGCCGGTGCTTGGTCCTGCCATGAGGGCAGGGGACTGGACTCGATGACCTCTGGAGTTCCCTGCCAGTCCTAGTGCTCTAGGAGGGGTGGACGGGTGGAGCTGTGGGATGTGTAACGATGGATGGAGAAGATGGAACCGGCTGGGAGTTATGGGGGGTCTCACAGGTGGGGGTGGGGGTGACCCTGGTGCCAGGAGGCAGCTGGAGGGGCTGTGATGGGTCTGATCATGGATGCCTGGTGAGATGGACGTGACTGGGCACGTCGCCGCCCCCACCCCGGCTGCACCCGTCGTGCGCCGGGGGGCCCCCACGGCCCAGCCCAGCCTGGGGGATCTCTCGGCCTCTGACGTCACCCACGAGTCTGTCCGGCTCTCCTGGACCGTCCCGGCCGGGGACTTCGACTCCTTCCTCCTCCAGTACAAGGACGCGGAGGGCAAGCCCCAGGCGCTGCCCGTGGACGGAGGATCCCGCACGGTCACCGTCCCCAACCTGGCGCCTTCCCGCCGGTACAAGTTCAACCTCTACGGCGTGTCCGGCCGCAAGCGCCTGGGCCCCCTCTCCACCGACGCCACCACAGGTCAGCGGCTGCCCCCGGGACGCCGGCCCCTTCCCTGGAATAAATTGCCTGGGGAGGGGGGCTGTGGGGACTCATTGGGTTAGGGCTTTTCCAGATAGATGCCTTCCATCTTCAGAAGCGGGTTGCTGGCTACAGAGTGTGGCTGGCCGGGCGCGTCTGGCGAAGGAGGGATGAGGAGTTTGGAGGGGTGGACGGAGGCGTGTTTGGGGATGGAGGGAGCGATCACTTTCTGGGATCGGTGGGTGTCCGGCCCTGTCTACACTGAGCGGGAAGCTCGAAGTTAGTCTGGTTGATTGTCAGCACCCGATTTTGCAAAGTCGAAGGAACAGTCCCCAGGGCGTGCAAGAACTTGTCACCATTCAAAGTAGCGCATCTCCCGGAGGGTGGCTGCCGCCGGCTTGGAGAGCCCTGCAGTTCCTGCACCCCTTTGCATTCCGGGTTAGGCTCCCATAATGTTCTTGTCTTCTTCCTCCCCCGGGTCGCGAGGACACCGTGTCAGGGTGAGCACGGAAGCCTGCAGGGAATCGAAGCCTTATGCTACTGAGATCAGCCATGGTGCGGCTAATGCTGGCCCACGTCCAGAGCACACGCTGGGCCCGCCGGCATGAGGCAGAATTTTGAGAGGCCATGGACGTCTTCTGCGAAACCCTTGGATTGAGCCATTTGGACTGAGCCGGCGTTCACGCCTGTGCCCGCGTAAAGTCACTTCCATGGAGGCTGGTGATGCTCTCCCCCGCCCTGAAGCGCCGGTATAGGACAATGACCATGGGAACCCTGCAATGCCAGTGTGACGACGCCGTCGGGATTCCCCCAATTCTGCACCCCCATAGCAGCAAGAACAGACTCCGCCAGCCGGTAGAATAGAGGGTGTTTATTGCGTCTCCAGGATACAGCCCAGCACAGACGCGACGTGTCTACAGGAGTCAGGGCCAGGGTGGTCCAGACCCCTTGGGTTAGGGTCTATCACCCCTCGCCCTCAGCCCCAGCAACCTCAGTCTGTCTCCCTCGTGGTCCAGCCACAGACTGCCCGTCCCCCGAACACTCACTCCCCGAGGCCCCTCGCTGCCCCCACTCGTCTGACCGGTTGGGTCTTTGTCTAGTGCCTTAGGCAGCCCCCCCGCTGGGCCGTGCTCACAGGCCGAGGCCAGTAGGGGTCAGTCACAGCCCAAGCGCAGCAACCCGCAAGGTACTGACACTACATCAGCACATGTGGGTGAGTCAGTGGGAATTACACAGCCCAGCGCAGGGGGACCCCGGGTCTCAGAGCAGACAGCCCCCCCACTGCGCCACAGCCAGACAGCCACCGGTCAACTGGGAATTGACTCGGAGAGGGAAACCTACAGTGGGTCTGTGACCCAAGGCAATCAATGCCCATCCGCTATGGGCGGCAGTGACTCTGGGAAGTGTGACCAGCGAGCAGGGCTTTGCTGAGATGGGTTCCCGAATGGCGGCCCCTCCCTTGCCCCCCAGCCACTGCCAAGGAGGACACGAAGCACAAGGGATACGTCTCAGCAGTGCAAACTGGATCACAAGAGCCATTTCACCGACCTCAGCGTAGGATGGCCAGGAGAGGGTGCCTGACGCACGTCTTTGGGGACTTGTGCCTCTCCACAAAGCTGCGCCCTGGAACTTTCTTCCCAGACCGGAAAATTGGCATTGGTGGCATTGAGACGCCAGCTGGGATCCTTGGCCACCAAGCCGACCCCGGGCTGCCGTAACGTACGAAGCCGTACACAGGCCGCCAGGGGCAGCCCGGCTGTAGGCTGAGGAAGTGCAGGACGGCTGTAGGATGTGCTGCTGGGCGCACAGAGGGAAGGTCCTGCTGTCCGCTGGCAAGGTTGGACCTCAGCGGAAGCAACTTTCCTGTTGTCGTGGCCGCCTGCCACGTGCTCCATAATATCTGTGAGCGTAGGGGACAGCCAAGCGGGGGAGCGAGGCTCGAGACAGCGCCCAGATGGTGGCTCGGTGCAGCCAGACACCAGGGTGATACAGCGAGCACAGGGAGGGGCGCTCCAAACCGGAGACAGCTTTCGGAGCTGAAGGAGGTGTCTGTGCCTTCAGCATGCTTGCCTCCAAACCCACCCTTCTACGCCAGCAATGAGGAGCCTGCTGTGCAGAAGCCATGTGGTTTTACTTAGAGAGCACAGCAGGGAGAGGAAAGGAATCCGGGGCGTGTGTGTAAACACAACGGTGCTTCGCGCTGCCCCCCCCACCAGCAGCGCATTCCTCCGCTGGCTTACACGCTCCCTGGCCAAGTGGGCGGGCGGCGTGTGCTCCTTCGTGCTGTCATCCCTGGTCCGTCTGCCTGCCGGTGTGTGCCAGCGGGTGGAGCCGAGGGAGCACACAGCGGGCCCGCTGCAACAAAAGGCGAGGAGCTGCGTTGTGCAGCGGGTTGCCTTGGATCCGCCTTCTCCTGTTCACACCCAGAGGCAGGGAGCGGAGGCTGCCTGAGTGTGGCCACAAACCTGAGTCTACACGGCAACACTTGGCACGGCCGTGACGCCAGGCCCCTCGCGGCAAGGGAAGGCGTCCTGGCTTGGAGGACAGAATAAGGCACCTCCCCAGACACCCGTGGGGAAGGTGTGATGTAGTGGGCAGGCAGTACACTCTCTTTGGGCAGGTTGCTATATAAAATCATGAGTGGTGTGGAGAGGGCAGATAAAGAAAAGTGATTTATTGGTTCCCATAATAGAAGAACTAGAGGACACCAAATGAAATTAATGGGGAGCAGGTTTAAAACTAATAAAAGAAAGTTCTTCTTCACACAGCGTGTAGTCAACCTGTGGAACTCCTTGCCAGAGGAGGCTGTGAAGGCTAGGACTATAACAGAGTTTAAAGAGAAGCTAGATAATTTCATGGAGGTTAGGTCCATAAAAGGCTATTAGCCAGGGGATAAAATGGTGTCCTTGACCTCTGTTTGTCAGAGGCTGGAGAGAGATGGCAGGAGACAAATCGCTTGATCATTGTCTTCGGTCCAGGGCCACGCAGGTCACAGGCAGGAGCACAGGGAGCTGCGGCGCCCTCCAAAGCCGGAGACACGCAATCCCGGAGCTACCCCACTCTGGTTCTCTGCAGAGCCCCCGGCCTCCCTGAGTTGGCTGCCGGGTTCTTGGCCCGGCCTGGATGTGGGTCAGGGGGGTTGTGATGTAGGGGGCAGGCTCTGGGTGACCCCTACTGGCCTGTATCTGTAAGCGCTGCCTGGTGGGGGGCTCACCCTGAGGGCCCTCCTGTGTAGAGCATGGCCCAACTGGTTCTCACCAGAGAGGGAAGGAGTTTAACAATGGAGGAATGGGACTGAAGAAGGGAAGTGAGTGTTTGGGGGAAGGGTCAGTTTTTGGCTGAAAAACATGAAGAGAGGAGTCTGAGCTGGGGGTTGAGGGGGCGATGGGCCCCCAACCCCAGGGGTCTGAGGCATCCTGGCCCTGACTCCTGTGGCCACATCATGTCTGTGCTGGGCCGTATCCCGGAGGAGCGATAACCCCCCTGTTCTACCGGCCGGCAGAGTCTGGTCTGGCTGCTGCGGGGCTGCAGGATCGGGGGGAGCAGAAGGATCAACGGGTCTCTCTGTGGAGATGCGCAGGGAGGATTCCGGCTCCGGCTCCAGACACGTTAACACGCTGTTCCAGGGACACACCCACACCCTGCTGCGTTTGGCAGAGCGGCCCCCACAGATCACACCCAACTGGCCCAGCCCACTTGTAGCAAGATGAAAAATACGACCTCACCAGAAGCGCCCTCCCTGACGTCCGGGCCCGGCGCGAGGCACCCGAGCGGAGGGGATTGGCTCCGAGGTTAGGAAAAGCGCCTGGCTCTTGGTGACATCAGTTGCCCTGATCATTCTCCTCTTCATCCTCCGTTGTATCCTCCCCGCTGCTGGCTGTGGAGTGTCTTCGGAGGAATCCACGGCCTGGCTGGGGAAGCTGGCCAGGTCCTCTGCAAGGATCGCCTGCAGCTCCTCACAGACATGGCGTGATCCAAACCATCTGCTTGCTTCCTTTGTCTTCTGGCATGACGGCACCAGCTCCTTTGTTTTCACTGCTGGGCGTCCCTGGCGGATCCTTCCTCCTCCGTGCACTGTGCAATCTTGGCGCGGAGATCCACGTTTCTTTGGCTGGTTCGGAGTTCTGGGAGAACCGAGTCCTCTCCCCACATAGCAGTGAGGTCCCGCGTCTAAGGCACGCCCCACGCTGGAACTCGGCTGCGACTCCGGGCATTCGTGGTCTGGTGTGCTGCTGGGGTGGGCTGCCAGGCCTGAGGTCTGCTCGCCATGCCGGCCACATGGGCCATGAAATTAATATGTTCCTGTTCCCCTGCCGAGCAGCAGCGTTGACAGTCCTAGCCTGTGACATTTCCCGGAGGCCAAGAATGCCCGCTTTCACAACAGTGTGTCTGCACGACCATAAAGTCGACCAGGCCTGGCCAAATATAGCGCAACTCCTCGTGAAAAGCTGGTGTATCGAAATCGACTTCAGCGGTCCTCCGAGTCAGCAGACCGTACTCACTGCATAGAAATTTGACCTACTGCAGCTAAGTTCGACCTAAACTCCCACTGTAGACCAGGCCCCAGTGAGGTCTGTGGCTTTGGGTCGCCCCCTTCTCTTTCTCTCCTTCTGTCTCAGCTCACCGAGGTGTGTGCCGGTCGCTCTGGGCTGTCCCCTCCATGGGGGCGGGGTGGTCACCGGGAACCCGGGAATGTGGGGTCCTCCTTCCCAGCAGCAGAATCTAGATGTGTCTTCAGGGGTCCCTGCATCCTCCCCCCATCAGTCCTCTCCACAGATCCCCTTGAACTAGGATTAACCCAACGACCTGCCAACTGGTCCCCCACCCCCACTTCACCCCCTTCCTCTGTTCCAGCCACAACACCACAGAAAGAGCAACCTGCCCTCCAACCCAGCCTAGGGGAGCTCTCGGTCTCTGACATCACCCACGACTCCGTCCTGCTCTCCTGGACCATCGACAAGGGGACCTTCGACTCCTTCCTCCTCCAGTACAAGGACGCGGAGGGCCAGCCCCAGGCGCTGCCCGTGGACGGAGGATCCCGCACGGTCACCGTCCCCAACCTGGCGCCTTCCCGCCGGTACAAGTTCAACCTCTACGGCGTGTCCGGCCGCAAGCGCCTGGGCCCCCTCTCCACCGACGCCACCACAGGTCAGTGGCCGTACCAGCATTGCTCGGGTCCTTAACATAATTAATTTAAAAAAATTAAAGGAAAATGTTCATGATTTATTGAAATGACTGTATTTTTTTAAAGCAGTGTTATTTTTACAAAGTTAATTTTAATAATTTTTTACATGGGAATTCCATCAAGTGTCTTTTTTCACCTCTATAAAATCTTCCCATTCCCTGTATTTTAACACAATTTTAGTCAATTTGGTTTCCAGGAACGTTTTCTAGTTTCCAAACCTTAAGCATTGACTTAGCTGGGCTAAAACAGAGCATGACTCCATATTTCTCCTTTATCTCTTTTCTGTAAGGTTTCTCGAGAACACTCTTCCCAGCTCATCCTATTTTTCTGGCTCGTCTTGGCTCAGTCTCTCAATATTCGTTCAGTCCTGTCAGTGCTAAGAACTGTCCTTGCTTTGGCAATTCTATCTTTTCTGTTTGGTTTTCTGAGAACTAGTTCCATTCTAGGCACATCCCATTTTCCTGGCACATCCGAAGCCGGACGTTGCTTTAAGTTATGATCAGAGGCAGCTGTATATCGAAGTTGGTAGCCTTCGCTCTTACTGTTTAGCAGGAGTTCTTGATCAAACAAACTGTCTACAACAGTGTTTCTCAAGCAGTGGTATGAGTACTCTTAGTGGTACTCAAGAGAAGTCTGGGGTGTACGTCAACGTAACTGAAACTTGGAGAAAACTGAATTTTTGTTTTAGGTTTTACAGCACTTTATTATTTTTGCACTTTTTACACCCAAAAATTTCATCGCCCGCCTGGTTACGATTAAGCTGTTTAAACAAATGTGTTGCAATAGTAGAAAAAAAATTGTGTGTCTCTGATAACTGTAGGTACTAGCGGTACTCACAATTTTTTTTTAAAACAGGTACTTTATAAAAAATGGTTGAGAAACCCCAGTCTAAAATATATAGTAAATGAAAAGTAGGATTTAAGAGGCTGTAAATAACAGCACACAGAACAAAGTCAGATACTAAGTAAAATAAAACCAAACACACCAGCTAAGCCTAATACACTAATATGCGTCTAGACTGGCAAGATTTTGCGCAAATACTTTTAACGGAAAGGTTTTTCCATTAAAAGTATTTGCTCAAGAGAGTGTCTACGCTGGCACGGATGCTTTTGCGCAAAAGACATCTTTTGCGCAAAAGCATCCGTGCCAGTGTAGATGCTCTCTTGCGCAAGATAGCTCCGATGGCCATTTTAGCAATCGGTCTTTCTTGCGCAAGAAATTAACTTCGCTGTTTACACCGGCCTCTTCCGCAAGAATAGTTGCGCAAGAGGGCTTATCCCTGAGCGGGAGCGTCAGAGTCTTTGTGCAAGAACCACTGATTTTTGGTGGTTCTGCACAAATACGTCAATGTTCTGCACAAATACTCGCGGCCAGTGTAGACAGGCGGCAAGATTTTGTGCAAAAGTGGCCGCTTTTGCGCAAAATCTTGCCAGTCTAGACGCAGCCCAAGGGTATGTCTACACTACAGCATTATTTCGAAATATCTAATTTTGAAACAGTTATTTCAAAATATCTTATTTCAAACTAACACGTCTACACACAAAATGCATTTTGAAATAGCTTTTTGCTATTTCAAAATAGCGCGTCCACACTGATTGGATGCTGAATCGCATTTAAGGCCATTCAGAACTGGTTCCAGCAGGGCATCAGGTCAGAAGTTACCTTGTGGCCAGGGCAGCCAGCAGGACACCCTGGGAAGGGCTGGAGGACCCCTATTTCGAAATAAGCATCTACACAGCGCTTATTTTGAAATAGCAATTTTGAAATTGGCGCTATTCCTCATGGAATGAGGTTTACCAATTTCAAAATAAGCCCTCCGCTATTTCAAATTAATTTCAAAATAGCAGTTGGCTTGTGTAAACACTAGCACAGTTATTTCAAAATAACGTCTGTTATTTCGAAATAACTTCGCTGTGTAGACATACCCTAAGAAACTGGTCACATGGAATCTCTCACCCTCGGTTATTATGGTTAGCTTCTTTCGCAGTCTGGTCCGCCTCCCAATTTGGACTTGATCCTTCCTTCATCTGGTCTTATATGTGTCCAGACTTGTATACCAGGGCCCCCAAAATCTAACACCCCAGGCCCATCGGAGAGGGAATCCAGCCGTGAGCACCTGACCCATTGGTGAAAGCCCTTCAGCTCCTGCACACCCAGTGTGTTCTGCTGTGTCCTTAGCCAGGGCCGTACTCACAGAGAGCTCGAAGCGTCTCTTTGTGTTGCTAAGTGCGAGTTGGGCATAGGGAGACGAGTTCCATGCTACGGCGTACAGCCCCGTAAATCCCATTGGTGGGTGGGTGGCCGTAATGCCAGGAGGCATCTAGCCATGACTGGACAGGACTGCCTGGGTGCATGGCGGCGTATGAGGATGGTGCGAAGGGCGGTTCTGGGGCTGGGTGGGTGTCTGTCTGGGGGGGTTTTCCCCTTGAGGGCGGCTTTCGCTCACCCCCTTTTCTTTTGCTCTTCTTTGTTCTTCCTTCCCTCTCTTCCCTCCCGTCCCAGCTCCGCTCTCCCCGAGGTGTGTGCCGGTCGCTCTGGGCCAGCCCCTCCATGGGGGCGGGATGGCCACGGGGAACCCGATGCAGGAACCGCTTTGCAGTCACTCCCCGTCCATCTGTCTGTCCCCAGCTGTCCTTCCCCGCAGCAGGATCCAGCTGTGTCCTGGGATGGATCCATGGGGCTCTCTGCGCCCTCCCCCAATAAACCCCCCTGCAGGTTCCTTTTGCCTAGGAATTACCTCGCCCACAAAAACGCTGTGAGCAGCCTGTTACCCCTCCCCCTCTCCCTGCACACACCCTGGATTAACCCCCTCTCTTGGTTGCAGCTGCAGCACGACGGGACGAGGAACCCACCGCCCAGCCCAGCCTGGGGGAGCTCTCGCCCTCCTGGCCAGTCCCAGCTGGGGACTTCGACTCCTTCCTCCTCCAGTACAAGGACGCGGAGGGCCAGCCCCAGGCGCTGCCCGTGGACGGAGGATCCCGCACGGTCACCGTCCCCAACCTGGCGCCTTCCCGCCGGTACAAGTTCAACCTCTACGGCGTGTCCGGCCGCAAGCGCCTGGGCCCCCTCTCCACCGACGCCACCACAGGTCAGCGGCTGCTCCCGGGGCACCCGGCCCCTTCCCCTCTGTTTTCCTTGGCCCTGCAGCACAGGAATAGACTGATCGTTGGGAAGATGCTCACATCCCACCCTTCCACCTTCCCAGCACTCCCTCTCCCCATGGCTCAGCAGTGTGGGGGGCTCAGATGCTGTTTCCATTCCACTTGTCTGAGTCTCCCCTAGTCCCTCTTTCTTGGATGGTCTATGGACCTCTTCATGCTGCCTCTACATGACTGTACTCATCCATCCATCCCCTGCATGTATCCACAACGCCGTCCGTCCATCCATCCATCCATCCATCCATCCCTGGAATGAAGTTTAACTGGTAATTCGAAGTAAGGGGTTTATTTCAGAATCGCCCTTCTCTGCCGCATGTAGACGCGGGCAGTTCTTCCAGGCTAGTCAATTTCTAAAATGGCGACCAGCCAGGAACATGCTAATGAAGGGATATTTAAATCCTGCGCTTCATTTGCAATTTTGGTCATCTTCATTAGCCTCCCTAGTTCGACCTAGGGGGCTAGTGTAGACATACCCCATCTGGACTGTCCATCCATCCATCCAGGATACACTGAGGGGCACCATGCTCTGTCTCTAGGTCCCATCTCTCATTTTTGCTGCCTTGTGGCCTCACTGGTTAACTCTTCACCCCCTGCCAAGTCCATGGGTTATGGGGTAGGAGCTCCCGGCGCCCCCTGTCCCTGCTCTCTGTGGCTCATTGTGCCTTGATGGACTCAGCAAGTGGCCGCACGCTTCACCCCCATCTCTTTTCCAGCCACGGCGCCACAGGAGGAAGTCAGGACGCAGCTGCGCCTGGGGAAGCTCTCAGCAGCCAACGCAGCCCACGACTCCCTCGACCTTTCCTGGACTGTGGAGGAAGGGACCTTCGACTCCTTCATCGTCCAATACCGCGACGCAGATGGCAACCCCCGGGCCCTGCCCGTAGATGGCGCCCTGCGCTCCCTCCACCTCCACGACCTGGCGCCTTCCCACCGATACAAGATCAACCTCTACGGCGTGTCTGGCCGCAAGCGCCTGGGCCCCGTCTCCACCAACGCCACCACAGGTCAGCGGCTGCCCCCGGGTGCTGGGTCTCCTCGGCTGCTTTGGGGTCCTCGAGCTTCACGTGTCTCTCCGGCACTGCTCATGCCTGTTGCTCACTGCTGCAGCCCAGGTCACGGGCAAGCACCGTGTGCACATCCATGCTCATCCGCTCGGCCTCCATCTGGTCCCCTGAGTCCAGGGGCACTGTTCTCCCTCACGCTTCACCGGCCTCAGCTCCTCGTTCTCTCCCTCCACCCACCTTCCGTCTGTGCGGCTTGCTTCTCTACAGCCCAGCCAACCAGCTCTCCCCTCTTCTGTCCATCGAATGTCCTTCGTTTATCTCGTTCCCTCTCCTGCGCCTCCCTTCTGGCTCCCTTTCTGCCTTCCCAATCACAGTCTGTGACACCTCTCGCCTTCTCTCTCATTTCTGTAACTGGTCTACTCCTCTTTTCTCTTTCTCCTCCACCTTCACTTGCTGTCCATCCGCTCCAGCCAATTCTCACCTCTCCTTCCTCCAGGCTGGTTCTTCAACTTTCCTTCCCCATCATTCTTCTGTTTCCTCCTCCTGCATGCTTTCCTCTCCCCTTCCCTTGCTGCCTCCCCCTTCCCCACGTCCCTTGGAATTTTCCTTCTACTTCCCTTCCTTAGCTGCTTCCTCCCTTTTCACTTGTCCGTTTCCTGGTACGTTTCTCCTCCTGCCTGATTCATTTGTTCTTTCACTCACTTCCAAGCTTTTATTTTTCCTCTCTTGTTGATTCTCATCCCAGACAGCAATCGGCACCCTTCACCCCCTCTCTCTGTTCCAGCCTCAGCACCGCAGGAGGAGGAACCCACCTCCCAACCCAGCCTGGGGGAGCTCTCAGCCTCTAACATCACCCACGACTCCGTCCTGCTCTCCTGGACTGTCTCAACTGGGGACTTCGACTCCTTCCTCCTCCAGTACAAGGACGCGGAGGGCAACCCCCAGGAGCTGCCTGTGGAGGGGGGATTCCGCACGGTCACTGTCCCCAACCTGGCGCCTTCCCGCCGATACAAGTTCAACCTCTACGGCGTGTCCGGCCGCAAGCGCCTCGGCCCTGTCTCCACCGACGCCACCACAGGTCAGCAGCAGCTGCTGATCACCAGCTCAGTGTAACCCTTTGCTTTGCAGTACGGTAGGGACATGTTCACCATGCCAGGAGCAGCCCAGGGAGATGCATCTGAGCATCAGGTGTCCACATGCATGGACACGGATCAGACAACCAACAGAGAGTAGGGAGGGATGTGTGGATGTATGTATGGGGGAAGGGAGAGAAGGAGGAAGGAAGGAAGGAAGGAAGGGAGAGAAAGAGGGGTGCTGGATGGAGGGAGAACGGGAGGGGTGGAGAGGTGAATGGGTGGAAGAATGGAGGGGTGGATGGATGGGTGGAGGAAGGGAGGGTTGGAGGAACGGTTGCAGAGGGGTGTGGATGGATAGACAAGTTCACCTAGGACTGTATGGGATCGCTGACCGATGGATGGATGTGTTTAGCAGGACGGGTGTGTGGAATGAATGGCCGGATAGAAGGACGTGGCAGTGGATAGATGGCCACTGGGTATTAATAGAGAGGGATGGATGGATGGATTTCTGTGGGGGTGGATGGATGGATGGATTTCTGTGGGGGTGGATGGATGGATGGATGTCTTTGGGGGTGGATGGATGGATGGATTTCTGTGGGGGTGGATGGATGGATGGATGTCTATGAGGATGGATGGATGGATGGATGTCTATGGGGATGGATAGATGGATGGATGTCTATGGGGATGGGTGGATGGATGGATGGATGGATGTCTATGAGGATGGATGGATGGATGGATGTCTATGGGGATGGATGGATGGATGTCTATGGGATGGGGCTTTGGATGGAGGAATGGTCGGTGATGGGTGGAGGTATCCATGGGAATTCCTTCCTCCCCTCCGGCCCCGCTATCTTTCTCCTTGTTTGTTCTCACTTCCCTCTCATGCCTGCCGTCCCAGCTCAGCTCTGAATGAGGTTTGTGCCCGTTGCTCTGGCCAACCCCTCCACAGAGGTGGGACGACTGCGGGGAACCCGGGACATGGGATCTTCTTTGCAGATACCCTCCATCTGTCTGTCCAGGCAGCAGGATCCAGCTGTGTCCTGGGGCCAGTCCCTGCAGCTCTCTGCACCCCTCCCCCATCCTCTCTGCAGATTTCCTCTGGCTGGAGCCCCATGGACCCAGCGAGCTGCTCATTACCCCGGCTGCACCCTTCACCCCCTCTCTCTGTTCCAGCCGCAGAGGTGCAGGTAGTGTAACACAGCCCCCAGCCCAGCCTGGGGGAGCTCACAGCCTCCAGCATCACCCACGACTCTGTCCTGCTCTCCTGGACCGTCCCAGCCGGGGACTTCGACTCCTTCCTCCTCCAGTACAAGGACGCGGAGGGCCAGCCCCAGGCGCTGCGCATGGACGGGGGATCCCGCACGGTCACCATCCCCAATCTTACGCCTTCCCCGGCCGCAAGCGCCTCGGCCCCGTCTCCACCGACGCCACCACAGGTCAGCGGCTGCTCCCGGGACGCCGGCCCCTTAGCCCCTGTCCCCTTTGCCTTGCAGTGTGACATGAATGCCAATCAATGGGCCAGGGTCTTTCCAAGAAGATACTTCTAACCTTCCAACCTCCACAACTAGACTGCTGGCTGTAGAGCGTGGGGTTGGGTGGAGGGAAGAGAGGTGGGTGGCTGGGTGGATGACAGACAGCAGGATGAGTAGCTATGTCTGGGGGTGGATGGATGAGTAGACAGATGGAAGATTGGGGAGATATGTATGGTGAGAATCGACAGACAGAAGGGTGGGTGGATATGTGTGTGGATGGAGGGATGGATGGTTGGAAGGATGAGAGATATTTATGGAGATAGGACAGATTGGCTGTGTCTAGACTACATGGCTCCATCGATGGAGCCATGTAGATTAGGGTTGTAGGCAAAGGGAAATGAAGCGGCGATTTAAATAATCACCGCT